TTGTGGGGGTGTGTGGGGGGGGGGGGGGGGGCGGAGCTTCTATGTGATTTTGTTTTTATTTGTTTTTTCTGTCCTGAAAACTTGGTCGCAAAACAGAACGCTAACGACTGCCGTATAATTACTGGCGCGTGACTAGATTTTCGCCCGAATCATTTGATTGATGTGCGATGTCATTTGATTGGAACCGCGTAATAATACGGCAATTCTTTGCGTATTTAAACCGTGACGCTTTTACATTTTTTCGGTCGGAAATGTGTCTCGGAGCAGGAATTTCGTAAGTCTATACACGGTTGTGCGTCTCCGTTCCGATCGGTGATGTTTATGATAGAAGTCGACAAAATAACATTTGAAGATATATGGGACGAATGACATATTAGATGTGTTTGAGCTGGCTGTGATGAATTAACCGTATTCAAATGCGGAAAAGAATGGTGCCGTTTATGACATTGCGTGCAGCTGCTTGCTTGACATTCATAAACGGAATGAGTCCTACACAGACAATTGAGGCAAAGATTTTTTTATCTCACAATGTTTATTCCCTCCGGTACAAACATTGCCACTAATTCGTAACACGTGAAGACTATTACAAAAACTACACGTAATTCGCGTCTGGTAGATGAATGATTGACGTGGAGTTCGATTGAATTCGCAGAATTCACGTATGCGGATATTATGACTGACCATCGTCTATATCGTCCAATCTGCTTTGGGCTTTTTTAAATGCGGCAAATTCTGGTTTACTTCCAAATAAACCCGAATGATTGTTGCTGACGCTCCTTCACTATAGGTATCAAGTACCGCTTGAAACTATTCTAATTCTATCTTGTACGCTACGGGTTGCAGTTTTAAAATTTTAATGCGTTCTTCTTGATTAGGAGCCATGATAGACTCGCGTGAATTATGGCTTCGATAATTTAAGCAAGAATATGAGGGAGATTTATAAAGGTGACTCAAAAAACAAGTGTGCGACTTACGTTTCGGTGTGAGATCAGTTTGTTTCTTAATAAATTTCTTAGTAAGTTTCTTAGTAAGTAAGCTTGTGTTTAGTAGGTTTGTTTGAACTATTTAGCATAAACGGGAGAATATGAATTGTAAATAACAGAGTTTAAACGTGGGCGTGTGTGTGATAAATCTGTTGTCTCTTGAAGCGCCTGGTGCTTATATTCTAACTCTTAACGCTCCGACTTTTAATTGTGAATATCGACCGGCAACTCCAACTTATTCACATCATACTTTCTCCTTTCCTTTCCTGAGAAATCTTGTAAAGTATATAAGCATTTATTACGCTTGTTTCTAATTCCCAAAAGAACAATTTCCGCCACCACTTCAACGATTTTCTCAGGAAACAATGTGTTGATGCTTTGTCTACAGTGCTTGAGAGGCACATTTGGAGCGTTAAAGGCTAACTGTCAGTCTAGGGGGTGTGTTTTAGTCAACATTTCCTATGAAGTGGGAACGCGTTTCTGCCCAATCCTGTAACTGTCGAATTGTCGTGAGCATTGCGTAACGTCCAGTTGATGCCATCGTCCTTGGTCTATTGTCGAGTTTCATCTGGTATCGAGGTTTATGTCACGAGATTTGCTGTTGAGAGGATCCGTCAAGTGCTTAGGATGTCAATTATTCTCTCGACGCGGTCCGAATTGTAAACCTTACAATAGATAGTGTGGAAAAGTCCAACTTCCCAAAAAATAGCAAATGTGCCGTCCGTACTGTAAACTGAGGACCATCCAAAATCCCAAACACACATTGAGTATCTCGGAAACAATATTAAAATCATCCTTCGTTTGAAATTTAAAAATTCATCGACGTTTACACTCTTTTTTCTGCGTATATCAAAGCATATATTGTGTATATCAAAGTGTTTAAAAAATAAAAAATTAGAACGCTAATGAAAATTAGTATGACATATAAAGTAGTAAGTGCAGCTGTGAAATAAATAAAGTTCGTGATGAGATCACATGCAATAACAGAGATATCTAGAAAAATAGCTTTGTTAATAATTATAAATAAATATTTACTATATTAGAAAAATTTTAATGCGGACTAAAATGGCACTTTGTGTCTACTATACCAAATTTCAATGGTTATTATTTCTATTGTATAATATCAAACTAGAGACGTGTCTTTAATGTAGGAAAAATTATGTGAATTTTCACGTGTCATCAAGAACGGTCTTTCCGAGGTGGGGCACAAGAATCTTTCGTATAGTGGAGTCCAAGTGGAAGACTTGTTACCAACTGGTTCTAGCAAATTGTTCCATAGATTATTTGCCACTTGAGATACATGAAACAATTTTTATTCGATTACTTATATAAAGATTGTTGAATTATATAATTTCATCCATTATACTTACATAGTGCATTAGATTTTTGACTTAGGTGAAAACAATCAGCTGAGAGATATGACAAATCAGCAAATCCATCCTTGGCAATTGGTACCTTTGCGTGTTTCAGAGTTGGTAAGCTCACTACAGTGAAGTCATTTCTATGAAATTCTGAATAATTAACCACTTCTTCTTCTAATTGTTGCCACCTAAAATATGGGACAAAATTATCATTAAAAAAATTTTCTTTTGATGAATAAAAGTTCATCTAAGTACACGATATAATTCACTGTTTGTCATGTCGCTAATAACGAGTCAAGTAGCCTATTTGCAAATGTAGGATTTAAGGAGCTTAACAACCTAAATTAAAAAAGGGCTTCTGAATTTTGCGAATTGCAAATCAGATTTACCTTGCATTAAATATCAAATATCCTTCTGACTCGAGTAACCCTACCTTATCGTAATATCGTACGCATAAAGATAATGTAATGGAAATATGTACGGTAATTAATATAATTTGCATTAAAATTAAACACTTTAAATTAAAGTAAAAAATTAAAGTTAAAATGAAAAATAAGTCTGCAACTAGAGGTAACTAATTGTTGAGGATCATTTTAAAATAAGTCAACCTCTATAATGTTATAACCACTTTTAGCAATAAAATTGTTTACAAACATATAACAAAAATATAAAATATAAATATAATATATAATATAAAATAAATATTGCAAATATAACATAATAAAATCTTGACAAATATAAGATATTTAAAAAACTTTGAAAGTTGCCTGAATTATACAAACCTCTTTATTATTTCATAATACTCCTCTCTTCGATCTCTGAATTGCAAAGCGAATAAACATGAGCATTCAATGGTAGTCATTATATAGCATTTCAAAGAGTTTCTTCCTTCACGCGTAGCAACGAGTTCCTTTAAGTGAGGTATTACCTGAATAGCGACGAAAGTTCTGGGTATATTGTCTCTTAATATCCTAAGAGTATTAATTAGATCAGTTTTGTGGTTATCCAAAACAGACCATGGAGTAGGCAGTGCACATATATCGGCACAAAAATCATTGTGTCCAATGAACAAGAAAATCAACTATAAAACATAGAAACAAAGGTTTTATTACTTAATCAATGAAATTGATATTTACAATTATTCTATCTAAAACACGAACCTTCCAATGTTTCTTCATATTTATCCTCGGGTCATTTCTTATTTTATTGATTAGATGTTTGGCCATAAATGGCATATCTCTGGACATTGCGCCAGTTTCAGCAACGTCTAACTGCGAAGCTGGTTGAGTAGTCAGAGAATCTCCAAGTGCGTAGCCTATTAATTTGGGATTGAATTCCTATATGTAGGAAGAGCCGGCTATGAAAGCAATACTCTCTTTTATGATTAATATAAATTATAAAAAGATAGTAAGTATATTAATGATTGTATAATTTATGTATGTGATCAATTTTTGAGTAACATACTTTGAAAATATTGGGAAGCGTCAAATATGTACGCCAAGTTCCTTGACCACCAATACTCGCTGATGCACCTCTATTCTCAATGGGTAGCTCCAATAAATTAGTTGCAAAAATTCCAGCTCCGGCTGTTAAAGAATCGCCCATTGCGGCAATAACATCTATGTCACCTGGTCTCAGATGATGAACTGAGTCGGGAACTTTGGGAGATCTACCATCTAAAAGGATTAGTGTAAAAAGATTAAAATACTAAGTTATTATAATTATATTGATTGATAATAACAAATCTCAATAATTGTATACAGATACGAAATTAGACCTATTTAAATGTAACTAAAACTTAAAAAAGGGCGATAAAATGTTGATTGCAGTTAAAAGAGTCTGCTATACTTGTTTAATGCAGCGTTTCGTCTATAAGCGTTCAAAATGCGGGACCGCTACCGAATATGTATATAGTTAGGGAACAGATTTCATTTTGAAACTGTTTGTATTAATTTCGCCGACTGGCATAAAAAGGGACAGCAAATAAAGAAGGAAGGTTAGAATTAAAAACTTCAAGGACTACATATTGGCAAGACAATACTAATACAACAAACATTTGCTCTTTTTCTCTGTATTTTATTTTTCTTTTTTTTTTTTTTTTGCTTACCGTTAATGAAATTTTCATCAGCATATTCATAAAATCTTTCTGATTAAAACGAGATCAAACATGATGTATTTCGGTTCATGTTTAGTTACTTAATGAGAAAATATAGACATATATGTTGGATAGTATAATAGATTTATTGTTGATACAGGGTGGTCAGAATTTCTTGAAAACAATGTTGTAAAAAGTGTGCAGTTAGAAATTCTGACTCGCGTTATATTACAATGTATTGCTAAACATACGGATCTCTTGTCATTCTCTTTCTATGAGGGTGGAAGATGTACACATGCAATTCTTCTTCTTAATTGGTGTTATACAGGGTGGTGGGTAACTGGTAGTACAAGCAGAGAGGGGGTGATTCTACGCGAAAAAAGAAGTCGAAAATATAGAATAAAAATTTTTCGTTTGAGGCTTTGTTTTCGAGAAAATCGACTTTGAATTTTCGCTCGGTACGCGTGCACTTTATCACGTCTCGTTATAACGGATCTCGCTGTAGATCGTTGTCTCGATGGAAAAATTAAAAAAAAAAGAAAAAAAAATTTTTGTTTAAATTTTTATTCTATATTTTCGACTTCTTTTTTCGCGTAGAATCACCCCCTCTCTGCTTGTACTACCAGTTACCCACCACCCTGTATAACACCAATTAAGAAGAAGAATTGCATGTGTACATCTTCCACCCTCATAGAAAGAGAATGACAAGAGATCCGTATGTTTAGCAATACATTGTAATATAACGCGAGTCAGAATTTCTAACTGCACACTTTTTACAACATTGTTTTCAAGAAATTCTGACCACCCTGTATCAACAATAAATCTATTATACTATCCAACATATATGTCTATATTTTCTCATTAAGTAACTAAACATGAACCGAAATACATCATGTTTGATCTCGTTTTAATCAGAAAGATTTTATGAATATGCTGATGAAAATTTCATTAACGGTAAGCAAAAAAAAAAAAAAAAAAGAAAAATAAAATACAGAGAAAAAGAGCAAATGTTTGTTGTATTAGTATTGTCTTGCCAATATGTAGTCCTTGAAGTTTTTAATTCTAACCTTCCTTCTTTATTTGCTGTCCCTTTTTATGCCAGTCGGCGAAATTAATAGAATTTGTATCGTAAATATAAATAGCTTAAATTAAATTCATCAAATTTACCAATTAAAATCTAATTTTATTAGAGGTTTATAATAGTTCGTAAACTATTCACGAACTGCTCCCAAATAAAGTTGCCAGGTATAAGGAAGACGTGACATCACATAGACGTATAAATATACACCTATCCGACTTGTGCACGCTATGCGATGAGTTGTAGTACTAATTGGCAATTACTAAACACGTGGGACGCTCAATTTACGTTCAGAAAATATGAGAAGATCCTCTAACCACTACTTCTCTGTTTCTAATAAAATAAACTGAAAAATATATGTGATATTGATTAGATGTAGGGGAAGACACAAAATAATAATGGAAATATTATTTATTTATGCGCTTGTTTTGCTAAATCCAAGTAATGTGTGTTCTATTATAATATCATATTATTATGTAAAGTGAATATTACAAAACATATACATAAAATATAAAATTTAGACTAAAAAATCACAGAACATATGCTGAATATAAAAATACTACATATTATCACCTTACACGTATATCGTAATAGGATACACATTACTTGGATTTAGTGAAATAAGTGCAGAAATTAATAATATCTCCATTACTATTGTGTGTCTTCTCCTACATCCAATCGACATTACATATATCTCAATCCATTCTATTAGAAACATGGAAATAGAGATTAAAGGACCTTCTAATATTTTTCAAATATAAGTCAAGTGTCCTACGTACTTAGCAACATAATTGCCGATTAGTACCGCAATCCAACGCAGAGCGCGCACAAGTCAGATAGGTGTATATAGACCTACATAACGTTATGTCTACCCTACGCTTGGCAACTCTGCTCCCGAATAATACAAGTTAAATGTTCACATACCATTCTTTAAATCGCTTCACGCTTGCCGTATGTGAAGAAGAATCGTGTTCTTATATTTGTTAAGTACTCAAAGCGGGGCCACATATTGAATAGTATGCAAACAGAGAACTGTCCCATTCGAAAATAACTGGTTTGATTCACTTCTCTGCTGAATAACTACTGTTATTTTTGCGATTCTTAACAAGCAGTGCCAAGCTAATAAGCAAGTTCTATACAAGTTGCCGACAACAATGAACGTAGAAAAGGACAGCAAACGAAGAAGGAAGACTCATAAGCTGAATCAGCATAACCAAATTCTATAAGAGTATCGTTTTTGGCCTCATTTTATTAAAAAAAAATCTTGCCAATATATGAATGAAATTTTTATTGACGAAAAATGAAAAATATGGAAGTTTTGTCGTTGCATTAGTGTTGTTTCACTGATACGAAGGCGATACAGATCTTGAAAAAGAAGCTGCTGTCGCATCATATTATTCACGTCACTGGTTCAAGGGCAAACCACCCCAATGCAAAGTGGTGGGGACAAATCATGGACAGTTATTGAACAGATCTGGCAGTTTGTATCAGCAAACGGAAATAAACGCTCCAGGCATATTAAAATTTCTAGATGTTTAATACAAATTTCACAAACATTTAATTTAAATTTAATTTAAATTAAATAGTGATTTTAGAAAAGTGAATAAGAAGAAATAATATTTAAACATGATTTTGTCTTTTTTTTTGGTAATAATAATAATAGATAAAAACTGTTTAACTACCTGTAACGTTACAAGGAAATGGAACGTCTGTTGGAACTTGCTTTTGAAATTTTCTTTGATTTCGTGCTGATCGTCCCTCATTTCTTACACCTAGAAAATATGTTTGATTACGTCAAACGACTCACTCATTACGATTTGGGCGAATGTCCATTCTGTGATTTCACATACGCAAACATAGAATCAAAACTATTTTCTATTAATGCAAAAACGACGAAAAGTAACTTTCAGTTCGTTACCGATATAATTCTGTCTGAAAACTAGGAACCTATTTTCATGTTTGAGCATTTCAAAACAAAATTTTGATTAGTAAAATTTTACAAAGTGATTTAAGTAGCACAATATATGTATAAAAGGCAATTATATTGATAGAAAAGTTAAAATTATTTCTACAATGTTTATATTGATAGAAAATAGATCTTTAATGAAAAATATTTTCGCTGTGCTGTTTGTTTATCATCTAAAATAACAAATAGAATATTTATCAAGTCAAAGCATAAGTAAAATCACACTTAAACGTCCATAATTAATGAATCTCCAACATCGACTTATTAGAAGGATCAAACGTAAAAATGTTACTTTACATATTTGTCATATTTTTCGTATAGGTTTGTCTATACAACTACTTTCGGGTTTTATCATCTTCTTACATAATAGAACAATTTAGCAACTAGTGATATTAATACATTAAAGTGTTCCACTTATTGTTAGTGTTACATATACATTTTTACAACTTCTGTACCACTTTTACTACTTTATACCTTTTAAAGTATTTCTCATTTCGTTCCGACGATTCATATCGTACATTTTCTGTTGGATGTCATTACGTACGAAGTGTCAACACACATGAAATATCATGTTCGAAAATGACATATTTTTATTGTTCATAAATTTATATTAAACGTATATTTCTAAAAGATATGGAAACATGAAATGCGCAAACTAACTCCAAATTCATGTTTCGCACATGCGAAGGAAAAATTGAAGGGACATCATAAATGTTAAATAAATACAAATGTGTAATTAATATAGTATTTTAAAGTATGTTGCATAGAGTATAAAATTTTGTAATCTTGATAACGGGACTTATTACACATACAGATTATATCTCTATAATCAATATTGTAAACTGACCAAAAAATAATTAAAATAATCAAATAATCGAATATTAATCGATGAATCTTCCAAAAGCAACTTGCTCCTAAAAACATTGCAAACTCTCTACACATTGTAAATCTAACAAGAATTACATACACTTTTCCTAAATATCACAGAACGAAACAAGCGCCATCACATTTTCACAAATATTTCTTTTTTTCTGCAACTTTTTAAAAACACATTAACTGGGAATTATACATCATCCCTTTATATTATATATATTTATATATACAAAAAAAATATTGTTGTAAACTAATCACATGAAATAAACACATACCGATATTTTCGAAAAACCAATTACGAATTTGACGATAGAAGTATAAGTTTATCGGTGTGTCTAAAGCCGTCTTCTGAGACGCGGTCAGCACGCATAATTGTAACAAAAGATACAAACAAAACTTGTTCATCGCGCGTTTTATTGAGCCAATTGACGCGGCGGTAAGGATTTCGCGAACACTCGTGTTTTGTAATTTTTATAACTTTATAACAATATCGAATGGATTCGAGATGGTATCCTTCTTTTCCCTCTCAAGGTTTGCGACGATCTGAGACAGGTGTACGACACAAAAGCTTGTGCTGGCTGCTGCGTACGCGTATCATTCGAAACCTTGATCGTACTGTAAGTCGCTGGTTCTGACTTTTGATGATGAGATTCAATGATCGCTACGAAGGTTTCGCTGTGATGCGATTGGGAGGAAATGAAGATAATTGTGATGTTGTTAACGTAAACAAAATTGGATTTAGGAAAGATTTGGCAACCTACCTTATCCCCTTGCCAATCAAGCATGAGACGAGTCGATGAAATATTAACGATCCCTTTAAAAAGGACGATTAGCTAGGCGTGTCTCCATTCAAAGGATTCTGGTTTTTAATTTTAAGCATGAAATAGTAAAATTACTATTTCACTTTACTGAGATAAATTACACATTTTTAATGATATACCGTTTTTGATGAAAAAATCGAAATTGTCACAGTATATAATTCCATTAAATCGTCTTAAGTGTTAGTACTATTAACGTATTACTAAGTGAAAAGTAGTTACTAAATGTATTAATTTCATAATATTTAAATCGAAATGTACGAAGATCTCGTAAATTCAATAATTTAGTATATGTACATGTCAGAAAAACTAAAATTTGATCTACAAATCTCTAAAAATAAATTATTATTATATATAATATAAACATAATATAATGTACATAACATAAAATAATGTCACAAAATTTGAATAAAAATAAAATGTAATTTTCCAACTATAGTAATATTATAGCGTATTACTGACAATTAGTATTCTACAATAGAATAGAATAGTATAGTGTTCTACTTTAATTCTACAGTAATTAACTTGAAACTTATGTTACATAAATTTGGTAATTCTGTAATTCTTTAATTCCTTTACATAATATTGTCTATTGAACGAAAATAAATCTAAAATGCTGATAAAAGGGCAATGGATAAAAAATGTCAACACCAACATTTTACAACTTAAAAGTAATACATATGTATATATACGTAGGAAGCATAGCTTTTGAACTTAGGAACCATACTTGTGCCTGCTATAGATTCAATGAATCATTGTTCTGACTCGAAATTACACCACAGAACATTTGTAATTGCGACGTTGGTAAATGATATCACGATGTCTGCCCGATCGGATCTTTTTATTCTAGATGTAGCCGACGAAATCGAGGAACGTGACAAAGAGGCTGGCGTTCCTGGAACGGTACCACGTACCACCAGGAAATTCATGATCTGCATACGAATCGAAATCGCGTAGTGTAGCGCCAGTATCCAAATTAGTTGTTCGGTTTTTCTTCAAAATAAAGTTGCTTTTAATTAGAGATTCTCTTTCACAAACTTTACTCTTCTATTCACTTTCACATATCCCCTGATCAAAAACGATATATGCCGTAATATAACGTTTATTATATTTGATTATGCTGTTCGATGACGCTCCATATGCAATTTGCGCTGCTTTTCATAAAATAGAACAGATTATTGAATGGAATTGTATTTGGACCAATTTGAAATGCTTTTTGGATATGTCGTTGTTGGCATTTATAGACTGCAAGGGAACTACAAATTACATCTCGGAATTATCAATCATCAAGCCTAATCCGTGACTTACGTATTCCGTTTGATGATAATCCGTATGATATAAAGTGATATTAATTTGGTCTTATCTTGCTGTTAATTACTAATTCATCATTAATTTGCATATTTTGATAAAACCCATACACTGTTTGTGCAAATCGAACAAAGTATGCGGATATATATTCATGAGCGATAGTATACATACATAATACATACATGTAAGTAAGGATATAAAGTATATAAATACGTTTCTTTGTCGTCGTTATTTTCTACAAAAGAACTCTGATTTGTTTGCATTCTTTTATCCTACAATAAGACCGCATAGGCATATTTGAACTGTTACGGAGTCAATGACTTTAACAAAGAGGTTAATAATTGATCGAAAACAAAAGTGCAATACTAAAAAATGAGGTAATGTAATAGTGATGCTTAGATTTTCAATGCTAAGTTTGCCTAAGTGCTACTTGTTGATTTTCATATTAACATACTCGCTTAAATACTCGCGAGATCTCATGCCAAGTCACGGAAACTAAACACTTGTAAAAATTATCATAAATTGTCTTGTAAATTTAACATCGTGGTACATGATGTAACGTCATGTATGTTTACTCTTCGTATTATTCGTATAGTGGACACATAGTTCGTTAATTTTCAACAAGGCGTAGTACGTCTATGATAATTTTAAACACAAATATTTAAAACTTTCCATGATATTTCTATTATTACCGCGAAATATTCCCTGTGAAGACAATAAAAATTAAGTGGTCACTGTTATATCGTAAATCGAAATGGCATGCACGATTCTCGTACGCAATTCCTCAAATTATCGATGCTGAATGCTACACGACAAATGCAAATATTCTTGAATAATTACATGTGCATAGTATGTATTTTAATCGAAACATTTAAACAAAGAACTGGCGGAACAGTCGGCTTTAAACATCTGCGCATCTTTCAAACAGAATGTTCTATAACAATGACTAACGATAAGACATATTTATTTCCGGTACAGAAATAATGTATAGAATAATGATTTGGACTTGAAGAATAAGATTTAAGATGAGATTCTCGTATAGCAACAATAAAATGTAATTTTTTATATTAATTACTTCTTATTGTTTATTAACTTTTCAAACTGTCACGTTTAATAACTTTTTAAACTGACATGCACGCTAACTAATTGATTCATCAATTTCGGGCAAGGCTCATTTACTCTGTTACAAATTTCTCCAGGGATTGAAATTCGTATTTGATTATTTATTGTTGCTCGAACACTATTTTTTATATTTTATAAACTCTCTTATTATAAACTAAATTATATTTTTTAAACTCAATTTGTCTACCGAAAAAAAGTTTTCTTCTAAACGCTAGAATTCTTTCATGTTCTTTTTTCAAAAATGACTTCAGTCTCAGCGTCGACTACAGAACTTTAAAAATATTCCTTAAGTTTTGCATTCTAATGACTGTGACTATACTGCACGCCAATACACTCCACACCAATAATGGTTACATTGGCAGAAATTGCATTTCAAGACTATCTATTTACATTCCAAAATGGTCTAGTTTCATATAACCAGTAGTTAGTCTAAAAACAATCCATAGAAATCACTTATTTTTATTGTTGTTACACGAGAATTCACCCTTAGTTGCTTCAATAACAATATTAAGTACATTACTTTAGTATTGATTCTTCCTTCCGAAGCGATATTCTTTTATTTTATATTACCGGAAGGACAATTCATGCTCTGTTCGCCTCAGGGGTAACTCATCAATGCATAGAGCTCTTGCAACATACGAAACCTGTATTGAATTTGTCAATAACTGATGACCTTCAGGATACTTATTTTTCCCAAAACTTGTTTCAAACGCACATACTTACGTTATACATACAAGATGTGTTCAAACAGTTCGGAACATTACGTTATAAAACGCGATAAATGATACTTCAGAATGTGGACTGTGGAGAGAGGGTATTATCTAATGTATAAACGACAGACCCACTAAATACCATCAACCATATTCTACGTTTAGTTGGATTATCGCTGTTCCAGTCCCGTGAATAATTATAAACTCAACCCCACTTTTCATGATATTAAAACAAAAATTGACAAAGGTATATAGATATATTCAAAATTATATTAATATATATATATATATAATTTCATATTATAATAGAAAACAAAACTGAAAATGCAACAAGCACAAATTTTCTTCTTATCAAGTTTGGAAAAAATTAAATTTTTTCTTAAAATTGTGTTTCTGGCTGTGAAAAAATACAAACTCAATGTTAAGTTTGTTACGTCTTCGTTCAATATTTAGCAAATCTTTCTTTATTTTTTATTACTTCTAATAATCAATTAGGTACACTATCCTCTAACTTATTTAAAGTGTTTTTTATTCTATTCTTTTTTTGAGTTCAGCGATGCCTTCTATAGGTGGCTTTTCCTGATTGTATACCTTCCTTACTAGGATCTAATCAGGACTGAATACTGGTTACAGTAATAATTCTATCCCGAAATCTTGAAACCATCTTTTCGTAGTAGCGACTGTGTGAATAGGAGTATTGTCTTATTGAGAAGGTGCCTTTTCGTCTTCTATTTCAGTTATGAGAGGCAATAATTCACCACGTAACATCTCTTGATATCCTACAGCGTTCAATTTACCTTTTACCTTTACAAAATTTCGTTTAAATATCCAGGCATGATTAGTGGATTCTGGGAAATATTGAAAAAATAATAAAGAAAATGTATTTGGACCTATAATTATTCCCGACATTGTATACCAGAATAGTGTTTTGTATTTTCAAAGAACAAAAATCGTATATTAGATTCTAACTATATTTCAATGTATAAAAATCTTTCGATTTATTATAATCATAGACCCAAACTCAGGAAAAGCTGCCATTTTCACTATTTTTAACTGTTTATACCCAGTAACATTAGCTGATTTCAATGAAATTTTCAACATAAAAACGTCGTATATATAACTAATATAACTGACATAAATCTACTAAACCTGTATTTTGTATGTAGATATATAACTTTTGTTTTGTGCTATAAATACATTTGTCCTCTATAACTTGTCCAGGATTTGGTATAGTTAAATTAAAAATAGCCTTTCTTTTTCTTTTCTTTTTTTTGCACGTGGAGAAATCCTCATGGACACTCTGCTGCTGCTAATAATCGGTAACAGCAGAGTAGTGTCGGACTCTTACCGACTAAAACTCCACGATGATCATCCTACGCGTATGACAAGAGTGCTTCAGGAACCTCTTATGAATTATCTTCTGTTCGAGCCAGTTCTAACAATTCCCTGACTGTTGAATTTGGCGTTAGGGGGGGCCATTGCCCCTAGCGCTATCCCCCCTTCTAGTCGCGGTCCGTTGGGACGGAAATTAAAAATAGCCTAAGCCAAGGCTATCCTTCCAAGCAACCTTTTTCCTACAAATATAACAGGTGCTCGACCTGAGTTTTCGAGTTTTACA